AACAGTGAAACATACATATGTGCCCCCATGGGACTCGGTATGCACCTTTCTCGATCCGAGAGCAAACCGGAAACCCGAACCAAAGGAGCCTTTTTTCTTTTCTTGGTTTTTCTTCTTCTCTTCCTTTTTCGAAGTCTTTAGGTTCTTTCTTTTTCCCTTTTGCGCTGTTCTTGTTCCTTTTTCGGTTCTTCTGTCTCTCCACAGCTGTCTCCAACACACACTCTTTACCCCTTTTCGCTATGTTAGTTTCGAACCTCGAGACGCTTACATGTAGGTTCCAAGCTTGAGGCTTATATTGTATTGTAGGTACTTTTTAAGGTTCCTGTCCCTGACTTACCCGATACCTAAAATCCATTTATACATAAATTCAATTTCAACACCTTGGCTTCTTGTTCAACCTCCTCTTATTACGAATCCCTAACTGTAACCAAGTATTAGATTAGGTTAGGGTTAGGCATGTATCAAATCTTGAGAGGTTGGGGGAAAGCAGTGGCTTATACTTGTACTTGTACTAAGAACATTGAAGCTTTTCCGACTGTTCTTAGTACAAGTACAAGTATAAGCCACTTGCTTTCCCCCAACCTCTCAAGATTTGATACATGCCTAACCCTAACCTAATCTAATACTTGGTTACAGTTAGGGATTCGTAATAAGAGGAGGTTGAACAAGAAGCCAAGGTGTTGAAATTGAATTTATGTATAAATGGATTTTAGGTATCGGGTAAGTCAGGGACAGGAACCTTAAAAAGTACCTACAATACAATATAAGCCTCAAGCTTGGAACCTACATGTAAGCGTCTCGAGGTTCGAAACTAACATAGCGAAAAGGGGTAAAGAGTGTGTGTTGGAGACAGCTGTGGAGAGACAGAAGAACCGAAAAAGGAACAAGAACAGCGCAAAAGGGAAAAAGAAAGAACCTAAAGACTTCGAAAAAGGAAGAGAAGAAGAAAAACCAAGAAAAGAAAAAAGGCTCCTTTGGTTCGGGTTTCCGGTTTGCTCTCGGATCGAGAAAGGTGCATACCGAGTCCCATGGGGGCACATATGTATGTTTCACTGTTGCCGAGTGCACAATGTGTAGCTTCGGTCTACCTAAAGCGACACAAGTGATGAACGGGCGTGCATAATGTTTACAGCTCACAGGCAAGGAGACTCCGGGGAGCGTTGGAGAATCAACCAATGAATGAATCAATCGATTAGAACTGAGAAAGGGGAATACTTATATGTAGGTTGGCTATCTCTGGCGAATCGAACACTTTGTTCATCTATGCAAGTAGATATGTAGGTATGTAGGTGTATACGAGGGAACGACTTGTCATGACCCTAGGCGTCAGCAGCTAGACACAGGAGAGAGGTACTATGCAATGCGATCGCCGATAAGAAGCAGGAGACAAAAGGATATGGATATGGATATGTATGTGTATGTGGTATGTATGTGGTAGGATTCGTGAAGTTTGGTTTGGATCTGAGAGGTGAGCTAAAAGACCCGGTTACGGAGTCAATGATAAGAAGATAGGGAGATAGGGAGATAGGAAGATAGGAACAAGACGAATCAATTGAATGAGCCGCTGGTTTTCAGGGTCCAGTGATAAATGGCTGCTTTGTCCCACCGATATAAGCGCCAACCTTGTAGGTCCTCTCTTACCTCTTACTTAAGTTACTTTTCTTACCATTGTACTACTACAAGTACAGCACTTGACAGCACTTGAGTCTTGAGGTCCTACAAGAGAAATCGGCCATCGATTTGGGAAAACCTTGTGATCAATGAATCCATGCTACCTCCCCTGATAGGCATTGGCGTATAAATACATTCGGACTAGACCAGTCAGATCAATCAATGACCATCACTTCATAATTCGTAAATATGTACAAGCACTATTTTATTTTAGGGTGAGCCTCAATAAACTAGTAGCTGCAAGAAAGCGGCAGACAAAACAAGTCCATTGTACTAGTACCTGGTCATTACCTGGTCATTGCCTGGTCATACAAACCACATGCAGGCCATGGACCGTACAAAGAAGGCAACGTGGAATAGGCGGTCGACAATGATGCAATGCGAATAGTTGCTTGCGACTTGGTTGAGGTATATCCCAAGTATAACGAACGCATGGCGCATGAACAAAGACATCCATTCAACCTGCCTGACCTGCCTGGGGCAATAAGAAGGAAGCAAAAAGGGCCCAGTAAAAGCCAGCAAAGGAAGGACCCTCGACCCTGACTTAAGAAAGCACAACAATTCCCCCTTTTCTTACGTCCTTCTTTATTACATGGACTGCATTAGGAGATGCAAACAATCAAGAGCCAGAGCCAGAGCCAGAGCCAAAGCCAGAGCCAGAGAGAGAGAGAGGCAGAGTCAGAGACAGACCGCCTTCCCCAGATGGCCCAGGTAGTTCAGATGGGGGCCAGTCGAAGGAATCAAAGAACAGGACTGATTGGGTTCGAAAAGACGATCAATTGGGATGGATCAATGGCCGATGATGGAACCAATCGGGACTTGAAGAAGAAGCATGGATATATGTAACATGGTGCTACTAGGTATGTAGGCAGGAATACATGGATAGTTCAAGTTGTGCATCATATATGTGCACTTGGGTTAGTAGACAAGAAAGAAACATGAGAAGAAACATGAGAAACAACTTGAACAATGTTGAGCTCGAATTTATTAAGAAACTACTCTGTACTATGTATGTAGGTACAAACAATACCTAATTTGTAGTAGCAACCTTGAACATCGAACATCGAAAATCGAAAATGGGGGAGGCTTGTGGCTTCATCTGTCCCCTTAGTTATATAACTAGTGCTGTACCACATAAGGTAAGCACCTAGGTTAGGTTACTAGGTACTAGGTAGCCAGTGTCTAGCGCCTTGGAACAATTGTAGCACACAACTTGAAGGAACATTGAACATCAAATTGATTGAAGCCCTGGAACATTAAAGTTAGTGCACTATATGTATGTACTATTAGAGGGAAACAAATCATTCAAGGTTGATGGATGGAATCAATGGATGAGAATTGCGGTACGTAACATCCATTTAGCACCGGGCACCCTAGCTAAGGTTGAAAGCCCCAGCAGGGACTACCTAGGTTAGTGCCTAGTACCTACCTAGTATGCAGTATGTAGTAGCAAAGCAGCTGCTAGGAAGGGGGATTTATTACATCTGATTTGCGCAAATGATGAAAATAAAGTGGATTCGGACCTAGCGGAATCGGCTTTCTAGATTAGCGTTGCGTGTCAGTGCTTCGATTGCCTTATCAACGTTATCATGCGCTGAACAGTCACGAGTGACGAGTCTGATCTTCATTGTTCACCATCTTCCAAGCTTGTTACGAGTCTTTCGTCTCTCCTCTGCCCTCTGCCCTCTGCCCCCTCCAGCCCTCTACCCTCTACCTGGATTTACTAAACATGGTACCTTTCCTGCCTTCTCGTCCCGTGGACAAATCTGATCGCCTCACCTCAACGACTTCTGTTGCCATCCATTGATCTCTCCTTCTTTCCTTACCCCGGATTATTCTGGTCTTCCTTCTATTCTTCTTCTTCTTCTTCTTCTTTACTCATAATTACCTATTATTACTACACTCCTCCCTTTAAGGCGGCCTTCTCTTGTATCCATCCATCCTTGTGATTATCCTTCCTCGTAATTCGACTTACACTATTTTTATCTTATGCTTTTTTTATCGCCATCGATATACTTAATCCCATCTTTAAGCTTCTCAACCTGACCCGGTCTAGATTAAGACTTTCTGTACACAAACCTGTACCATTGAATAGCAACATACCTGCCTGTTTTTAACCCCTGTCAATAGAGGCAAGAGTCATAAGAGTCATAAGAGCTATCTTAAGAACATTGAACGAAAAACAAACTGGAGGTGAGAAGCTCGAGCTTGCTTGCCTGTCTTGCCTGCCTGTCTGCCTGCCTACATGCTTCAAGTTGCTTAAAGAAAGAAAGATACATACATACATACATACATACATACCTACTACTCACTTACCAACGTTTGGTATCCCAGACCGAGTCATTTACTTGATTATCGGTCGACCCAACCACACCCAAATCACACATGCAACACATACTCAACTAGTAGGAAAGCTACATTTACATTATTCCCCCATACTCGATATTGCAGTTCAAGGCTAGCTGCCTCGCCTAGTATCTTCGCGAGCTCTCATTGACACATCCCACCCCCCCATCCTTCCCATCACCCCCTGTCCACCACCAGAAGGTACCTACATACACCCTACATACATCGACAGCTACCGCATACGGCACCTATTCATCTACGGTTTCCTACATACATACTACATACTACATACATAACATACTCACACACATACATGAAATACATGTACATGTAGTACTTGTAATTGTACCTACATATACATACATACATACACACACACACACACATGCTTACATCGATACTTCGTACCTCCAGCATCTCTAGCATTGGATCATCCCCAATCTACGTAACCGTTCATCTGGTTTGGTAGACTGATCTCTCTACCTTTGTCGTTCAACCGTCATCTCATCTCTGCATCGATACTCTTTCGTCCCTTTTCTTCAACACCTGGGGAAGACAAGGCAACAGTTCAGTTGGTTGTCTAGTCATTAAGAGTATAAAGATTAGTTATATTGGAACAATACCCTTGTGGCCTAAATCTTGCCGTGTCTGTCATTCGAGAGTGACACAGACATCCCCGCCTTTCAAGGTTCCTGTCTTTCAAGGGCCTCGATTCTCCTCCGACCGACCTATCGGATACCCTGCCTTTAACGGAGTACATCAATTACATCCACTTTGACATCCAGGTCCCAATCCTAAGCCTCACTCGAATCTTTTGACTGGCTTCTTGTTGTTATTCGACTTTACTCACGCCAACGCCCGCCTGTTGCATCTTTACCACCCCCTTTTCTCATCGACGAACCGGTTCCGTCTGCGTCCTGTTTCATCCTCGCTCAACCTGAATGTGTGTGTACATGACGCATACTCGAGCGACCGATCTCAACCCGATTCCCTTACAAGCCCACGGGCTACATTAACCAAGCTTCCTGTCATAAGCCAATCCACACAGGAAGCTATGGCCGACCATCGAGCTCCGTCGGGCTCGTCCTCTCGTCGGACGAGGACTGGCGAGGATATTGTTGGTCAGTTCATTCTTGGCTCTGAGATAGGAAAGGGCAGCTTTGCCCAGGTGTATATGGGCAAGCATAAGGTTTGTATCCCTTTAACATGTCATCTATCTATCGTATATTGTTATATTTATTACGCTACGAAAACAATTTCATTTTTTTTTCTTTCGCGATACCCCATACTCCATACCTGAACAGGCGCATGTTGCACGAATCTTTCCCCACGATCGTGAGTCACACGCAGGTAACAGTCCAGCTAATGGAGATGGAGCAGATGTCCGGCGCCTTGGTGGCTATCAAATCCGTCGAGCTCGCGCGACTGAACAAGAAACTGAAGGAGAATCTGTACAGCGAAATCAAAATTCTCAAGAAGCTCAGGCATCCACACATCGTTGCTCTCCACGACTGCGTCGAGTCCTCGACCCACATTAACCTAATGATGGAATACTGTGAATTAGGAGATTTGTCACTATTCATTAAGAAAAGAGATAAACTTATTACACATCCTGCAACTTGCGACATGGCGCGAAAGTATCCTAGTGTACCAGGCGCTGGCCTTCACGAGGTGGTCATCCGACATTTTCTCAAACAGCTCGCCAGTGCTCTACAATTTCTGCGAGAGGGCAACTTTGTCCATCGAGATATCAAGCCCCAGAACCTATTATTACTCCCATCAGTCCAATATAGGGAGACCAGTAAAGATAGCCGCCCAATACTCAGCGCTAGTAACGATTCGTTAATACCGGCTGTTGGGTTGCAATCGCTTCCGATGTTGAAGCTAGCAGACTTCGGATTCGCCCGTGTGCTCCCTTCAACGTCACTCGCTGAAACCCTGTGCGGATCCCCTCTCTATATGGCGCCGGAAATCCTCCGATACGAACGATACGATGCCAAGGCAGATTTGTGGTCTGTCGGGACTGTCGCGTACGAGATGATATCTGGCAAACCACCATTCCGAGCTAGTAATCATGTCGAACTTCTAAGGAAGATCGAAAGTTCCGATGCTCAGATCAAATTCTCGCGGGAATGTCAAGTAACTCCGGAAATCAAAGCATTAATTCGGGCACTTTTGAAGCGTAACCCCGTCGAGAGGTTAAGCTTCGAGAATTTCTTTAACCATTGTGTCATTGCTGATGACATACCCGGTCTGGTTGAGGACGATTTACCTAAGATCCAAAGAAAGCCGTCAAAGGAAGTACGTGCTGCATCAAGAAGTGACGAGGTTGACCTGATTCCGCGTCGCATGCCCAGCCATCGCCGCTACGGTACCGATCTAGACACGACTGGTCAGGATATTATCTCTTCTTCGCCAAGGGAAAAGCCCTTGAGGTCTTCGCCTCTTGCCTCCCCAGCCGAATACAGCACCCAGGAAGCACAGTTCCAAAGTGCAACGCGCGCCTCGCAATCCCCACGAGATGAAATCGCTCCGGGTCTTGGGATTCGGCGGCCAGTATACCCAATACCATCTACATCAGCTCCCGCCCGACCTTCCCTTATCGAGGATCGGCGGAAACGCGGAGTTTCTAACGCTTCAGTCAACAAACATGGCCGTGACGGCCAAATCCCACCGTATGAGGAGACTAGCAGGGGTAAAAATATGCCTGGGCACTCCGCCACGGACGAACGAACAGCAGTAGAGCAGGATATCGCCTTTGAGCGGGATTACGTCGTTGTAGAGAAGAAGCACGTAGAGGTGAATGCATTTGCCGACGAATTGGCCGCTAAGGGAGCACAAGCACAGGCGTCGTCTCCTAGATCGGGACAAATCATTCGTCGTGCTACCCAACAAGGCCAACCGACATCGACGACGGGTGCAATCCCCGCTCAACCTTCCAGTGCGCTCCAAATTGCGCAAGGCAGACAACGACCAGAACATTACCGTCGGGGCTCCTATGACAAGAACATATCCGGCAGTCCTAGTTCCGCAACATCTGCGATCTACAATGCGATATCTGATGCAAGTTTGAGATTCTTCGGCATCAAGTATCCAACACATCTACTTGGCAAAGGCACATCGCCTCCACACCCCTACAATGCGTTTCCAGCATATCCTACCCCTACTGCTCCGGCCGGTCTCATTACTGATGGACGTCAAGGTGGACCTATCGATGAAGACTTGCGGGTTGCCCAATGCATTGAGGATTGTGCAACTCGTAGCGATGTTGTTTGGGGGTTTGCTGAGGTCAAGTACAAGCAACTGGTACCACTGGCACCTTCGATGGACCACGGTCTTGGTGGAGTGTCCGCCGATAAGTTAGCCGAGGACGAGGATGATGGTCTCACTGTGGAAGCGATTGTGTCACTTTCCGAGGAGGCTCTTGTCCTCTACGTCAAAGCACTTTCGCTTCTCGCCAAGTCGATGGACATCGCAAACATATGGTGGACGCGCAAGAACCGCATTGACACCAATTCCTCGCAGCACTTCCTCAATCGCGATCCAGTAAGCGCTCAGAACCTAATAACGAGAGTAAATTCGGCAGTGCAATGGGTCCGCAAACGGTTCAACGAAACCCTAGAGAAGGCCGAGGTAGTGCGGCTCAAGCTACTCGACGCTCAGAAGCAGCTTCCAGATGATCATTCCAGCCATCCGGCAAACAACAAGATGGAACCCGCTTTGGCCGGTACCTCTAGTACCGAAGGTATCGTATTAACGGCAGGTCTAAGCGCGGAAAAGCTGATGTACGAGAGGGCTCTAGAAATGAGCCGTGCTGCTGCTATCAATGAAATCGCTAACGAAGATTTGCCTGGGTGTGAAATCTCGTACGTGACTGCCATCCGCATGCTTGAAGCGGTCCTAGAAAACGACGAGGATATATCAAAGCGCAGGTTATCCGGGTCCTCGAAGGTTGAGCGTGATTTGATAACAGAAGGTTCGTCTGAAATGAACCAGGACGATCAACAATCTGTTCATAAAAGTATGTGCCTTCCATACCTATAAACCAGGAAAACGGCTGGCTAACTTGACCAAGTGATCCGAATGATCAATAACAGACTCTCATCCCTTCGCAAGAAGTTGCAGATGATTGCCAATGCCTCTAAGGCCCAACAGGACTTGGCCCGAAAACGTAGCGGTGATATTACACCGCGCAGTGTTCCCACAGGTACTTCATGACACGAAGGGATCACCATTTCTCACGACGTATGACGACACGTAAAAGATTGCACTACAACTCTGTACGCCCCGCGGCCTGCATAATTGTTTATTAAGACGGGTATCAAAGCTACATTAGCGATGGCTAGTCTCATCGTTTTCGACAGGATTCATCAACAGGCGTTTTGGGCGGCAACTTGATTTCAATTTCATTACACCTATAAGCATTCAATTTCATCTTCTATTGTGGCCGTTGAACCGGCATCTCATTTTCTTCTTTTTCTTTCCTTCTTTCCTTCACAAGGAAATGATTCTAGGGTCTCGAGGCGTATGCTTATTGGATGATGAGAGCATCATTTGGCCCTCGGTGTAAGTTGGCGTGTTAGCACAGAGCACATCTCTGTAGCAATGACTGGCGTAAAGGCGGGGGGATATACGGCACCAATGATTCTGTGGTTCTCGGCTTCTACAAGCCTTACTCACGGGCGATATGGGGTTCCCCCCGAACATGTCTGGCATCTTTTGCTTGTGTTTGTTTTTTTGTTGTTTTCTGTTTCTTTGCGACGACCGAATACCCCCTTTGGAAGATCATGGGACTGTCCGTGGCGAGGGAAAAGGGTCATTTTGTATCTTGCTTCTATATCCTCTCTCCCCCCCCCCTCTACTCTTTTCGGTCGGTGTCATAGCAGACTTGTCGGGCTCATTTGCTAGAGTCGAAGTCGGGGCTTGGTTGCATGTGGTTTGGCACCACGACTCCCTCTGTAACTACATCTGTATAAGGCAGTCTTACTTACCGTTCTCATCATCGTATTAGCAACTAGGAAATTGACGGTGTCTCGGTATTTCATCTTTTATTCTACATTTTTATCTTTATTCATCCCCCTCTTCCCTCTGCTTTGTTTTTTCAATCTGATTCTTGGACTGTGTCTAGTAGTAGTAGTAGCAGTTGTAGTACATACGTTACTATGAATAGATACTCGTGTAGTCACTTGAACTGTGGAAATTAGAGCCTCGTAACCTGTGACTTGTAACTTGTGACTTCCAAGGTTATGACTTGTAAGTATTACGTAAGGTTTAGCATGTGGTCGGGTGTCACGGTTATTCAGTGCTAGGTATAAACAGGAACTGCTTGATATATACCTAGTAAGTACTTGCTCTTTCTATGTACAACCAGGTAGAGTATTCTGACTACCTGGACTACACATGTGATAGCATTGGTGTGCTTTACACAATGGCAATTGGGAAAGGGGCTTAGTACCTAGAGTAGGTAGGAGCTTTGCTCCCTGGTGGTTCAATTGGGCGTTAGTTACTTAGTTACCTACCGTAGGTTATTTACCTACATAAGCTGCCCAGGTGCCTGCCTACCTACCTACCTACTTACCTACCTACCTACCTCGTATGCAGCAGCGTCTTTCCAAGTTCAGCTTGCTTCTTGGGGACTCTGATGGGCTTTGATGAAGATAACACGGCTGGGATGGCTTATCAGGCAGAGGTAGCTCACGTTTCGGCGTTTGGTACATATGACGAAGTTGCGCGTCTTGGAACTGGGCTGCGCGTGTTGTAGTGCCTGAGCTAGGTGGGCGGGGGGTTGTTAGGGAGGTAGGGGGGTAGGGGGGTAAGGGGTAGGGGGGTAGCTGCGGTTGATGGTCATGGATTGCTTGTCTTCTTTTTTTTGCTACGTACCTACCTAACTATGTATAGTATATTATATTGCGGCGGGTGAAGCTTAGGTCGACGCTATGTATGTTGGCTTTCTTTCGAGTTCTAAGTAGTATGTATGTATGTACTAGATATCTAGGTACTAAAGATATCTAGTAGGTGCCCAGCTAGGGAGGCACTACACTAACCTAACCTAGGTACAGTAGGTACCTAAGCTTGAGAGCTATATACTGGATTCGGGTTAGACGGACAGCTAGATGGATAGTCGAGTGTAGGGAGGTAGGTAGGTAGGTGTTCGTTGTGCATGTGTCAACGGTGCCAGGTACATACATATGTAACACGGCAGGGTGGTAGGTAGGTAAAAGGTTCAGGTCGTGTCTGTTCTGATCATCATCTACCCCCTTTTTTCTTGTTTTCCCCCCTCTTGTCATCGCCATCGTTCAAGTTGTTGCGGTCTTGCTTTTTCAACGTTACCTACCTACTTACCTATAGTAAGCAGCGGGCAAAGTACATAAAGGAGGTACATACATACATACATACATAGCATTCACGGTAGATGTATACCCTCGGTACTAGGCATAGGGCGTATTCTACTAAGGGGGGAATATGCGGGGAAAGCTCTTGGAGCTAGGTTGAGGGCCGCAAGGTCTTAGCTACTAATTTACATATGTACATGTGTAGGTATGTAGGCTTGTTTACTTTCAAGTTACCACCAACCCAGCTCTGGGTAAAATATGTGCACATGTGTATGTATGTATGTATGTAATGTCATGTCATGTAATGTCATGCAAGTCTTAGGCATGTCTTGTAATACTAAACCTGGTTTTTCTTTTTTTCTTTTTTTTTTTTGGCAAAATTCGACGTAACGAGGTGACATCCATATGGAGAGATATGTAGCGACTCTCTCTTCCCGTGACCACCATTTATTTATATACTATGTACACAGGCTGCCAGGTTATATTATACATACATGTACATATGGTAAGACTGTACCTGACTGACTAGGTAACCTACGTAATAGTAGCTCAGCCCCCCCTTGTCTACAAGTCAGCCGAGTTTCGACGATGACGAAAGAGAAGAGGGGCCATAAGTAATGGGTAACGGAAGCTTGCGCGACTTTGCATATCCTCGTGTGTTTTTTCTTATATAATCACCTAACCTAGGGTATGTTGTGTGTGGTGTGGTGTGGTTTATCATGTGCATGTGTGAATGACATAAAGACAAAGCTTTCCGGGCTGATCTAAATATAGGAGCACTTGAACTTTTTGGAGTAGGGACTCGATGGGGTTTATGTAAGTTTCGAGGTTGGTCTGTCGTTATTAATTAGATAATTGAATATAGTTACTCGGCTCGGTTCTGTAGATCCCAAGAACCACTCAAAAAAAAAAACATAAGAAAAGAAAAGAAAAAAGATGGTGGGGTTTTTCTTCTTGAGCTTCGAAAGAACTACATATTATTAGTTATCTAATAGCTATAATAAGTTTTATATTCCGACGATCATCGATGCAGAACTATGTAACTTACTCCTCTTAACCTACCTCAGTACCTAGCCGGAAACCCTCCCGCGCGTAAGCATTAAGCAAGGTACCTGGTATGTAATCATCATACGTGCGTGCGTGCAATGCTTGAATGTCGATAACTATTAGGAGAAGGAAAAGAAAAGAAAAGAAAAATTAAGCTTTGTACAAGTCGTTTCGTTCCATGTGCACAGGTGCCTGGGAGCTGCGCTGTGACGCCAACATGGATGCAGATCTGGTGCCCGCTGTAACGCGGTGGGAAAGAAAAAAAAAAGGCTAGGGGAGAGGAGGGGGGGGGGGGGGGGGGGGGGGGGGGGGGGGGGGGGGGGGGGGGGGGGGGGGGGGGGGGGGGGGGGGGGGGGGGGGGGGGGGGGGGGGGGGGGGGGGGGGGGGGGGGGGGGGGGGGGGGGGGGAACGACGTCATTTTTTGATCTGGGACCTGAGTTGGTAACTAGATAGATACAAAGAGGTGGGTTGGTGGGTGGGTAGGTATACTAGGTGCTTACTTAGGTACTATAGCAGGTAACTATTATTGAATCTTTTTTTTTGTTTTTTGTTGCTTATGGGACGAAACAGGCGGAAGCTCTTGTGTATGCTACCTATAGGTATGCTAGCTATTTGCCTTCCTAGGGTATCACCAGACATGTCGGCATATTATATGCACTTATTGATAGCTATCCCTATATCATCAATGTTAATATGTGCGCTTTAAAAGGCAAACAGAAAGCCCCCAAAAATAGGCCCGTCAAAAAAAAAACCCCCCGTCCACTCTTTTCCTCTTTCTTCCTAGCCCTTTCCGTAACAAAAATACCTGTCAGAATAAGACACAACTGGGGCCGTTGATGTGGATTGGGGGCTAGTATGTACCTACCTACTTAGGTCCTAGGTAGGTAGGTATGGATGTCTCTCCTTTGGGGGAGGGGGGGAGGACCTTGGCTTCTCGTCCTATCAAAAACTTGGAAATGAAGGGTAGCGTATGACGCTGACAGGCATGAAGAAAAAAAACTACCCGGCGTGGGTAGGCTGGTCAATAGGCTGGTAATAGGTAAAACAGAAAATAAGGTGGCAACGGGCAACGCAAGTTCAATGTTTGCAAGTTTATAGTTGAGTTGTGTTGTGTTGTGTTTTGATGCTGATGCTCGGCTGGCTTTAGGGAGGGACCTGCTGACTGCAGGTACGTAAGATCTTTATTGGTTGAGGACTTGGTATGTAATATTTGTATTGTATATAACTACCTATAAGTTACATATTCAACTATTGCTATGTGGCTTAAGCTGCTGGTGTTGTCAAAGCTGTGACGCCGAAGCAACCTCTTACATATGGCTGAGAGTAGCTCATGTGATATCTAGCCCTACATATAGGTAGGTAGGGATCTAATTATAGCTGCCGAGAAAACTTGACTGTTATGTATTATTTGCTATCATCACTGATATGCATCACCATCATCATATGCATTGAAAGCAAGAGAATGAAAGTTCAAATGCAGCTTAAACCATGTTTCAGACAAAGAATGCCAACCCTGTTTAGAAGGATACGAGAAAGTCTAGAAGTACCAGGTGCCATCTAGACCCCCCAAATCCCCAAATCCCCCCTGATTACTACCATTAGTTTCCAAGGTCAGATCTTTGTTCCCGTGCCAGGCCAGGCTTCACGGGATGCTACTACATACATACATACATGTATGTACATAATATAGGTATGTAGGCCTAGAAGTAGGTACTAAGCAAGGCAGAACATTGAATAACATAACATCCATTCATGTCACGGGTATGTATGTATGTATGTAGAACATTAATGCAGAAGTTGCAGAAGTAAGAGGAGGAGGAGGCTTAGCACAGTTTCTAGCACGGCTCTTCGCAAAGTTCCGGCCTTCCCAACCGTTCAACCATGAATGGTCTATATAGAATGCGGTATGGGGGGTTTTAGAGTACGGTGGACTTTACCGGCGAAGCTCCTAAATGGCCACATACTTTTGGGCTTGGACTTGGCTAAACGTAGTTTATTGAGTCTATCCTCATGGCATCTCTACAGATACGAGATAAGAGAGTTTACGCCGTGTCAAATGAGGGAACGCCATGTG